CCCAGCCCCCATCGTTTGTCAGGTTTGGGTTTTCCGTGCTGGATTAAAGCCACAGAGAGGTTTGGGACTGAATCAAGATGATCTTTGGGTTCTGCTAGGACGATGAGAGAGTGAGATCATTTGTGTGATCCATTAATGTATCCCTGGATAGGCTGGAGGTGGCTGGGGGGCTTTGCCTCTCCTGTACTTGATGTGAGTTGTGCCTGTGTGTCTCAAGAATATCCTGTGCATGCCTGTGTGTCCCAGCTTCAGCCTCACCTTTACCTGTTGCCCAGCCCGAGTCCCACCTGGAAACAGCAGGGAGCATCCAAGGCACCATTCTGGAGTGGAGTGCTCATGGACCTGCCCTCCATCCCCACAGGAACAGAGCCACAGGCAGCCTTCCTGCATTCTGCCAAGTGCCAAGGGCCTTCCCTCAGCCCGTGAGGGCAGCTCAGGCATTCAGGATTAAATCCTACCATGGAAGTGCCTGCAAGCCCTGTTGGACATCTTGGAAATGACTGAGAGACCTGCTAATGGAGGTGTTTTGGGATGAAGGTTACAATGATCCACTGTCTCCCTCCCCTCCTCTCTGCACTTCCCTAACCCTCTCTCTATCTGTGACCCTCTCCACCATCCTCTGCCTTTCCTGGAAAGACAAATGAGATGTGAAAGGCAAGAGGCACTGGGGAATGTGGGAATGCAGCTGGCTCAGCATCAGTCCAAGCTGTGGCGTGAGGGAGCCCTGAGCCCCAGCCAGCCCTGCCCGGTACCTGCTCCCAGCCCTTCTCCAGAGGTGAAGTCTGGAGCAGCTGCTCATTTCCACTTAAGCTCTGGGGTTTGGGCTATTAATAAGCCTGGAAAATAACCACATGTTCCCTGAATTATGTAACAGATGTTAAATTCCCTGGGATGAAGAGGTGTCAGCCTGATGGAAGAAGTGATGTGAGGACCTTTCTTTTCCCTTGGAGCTGGGTTTCTCAGCTTCTGAGCAGAACCGATTATCAGAGAAAAGAAAGTCGTGTCACGCCCGGGTTGGATTAGCCCCATCCTTTGCTCCTGCCCGTGTTTGTGCTCCTCCTGCCTCTCCCCGGCAGCACATTTTTGGTGACAAAGTGTCACCCGAGCGCCGTGGGGATGTGCTGGGGTGAGCTCCGGGAGTCACCATCGGCGCTGGCTCCTTCCACCGGCACAGAGCGAGGAGGAGGAGAGGGAACCCAGGGCCAGCGAGGGGACTGGGCAGAAAATGCCTTCCCAATGAACCCTTTCAGGGACACAGCGGCCACCGAGGTGTTCACAGCCTCACTGGGGTGCTGTGAGATAGGCTGGAGTGAGGACACAGGAGGTGTCTTAGGGAGGGGGTTAAAAAGGGTCTCATTCTGTCTTCTCTTTGATAATTTTTATTTTTAGGGTTGTTGTTCCCAATTTTCCTCTCTCCCAGAATGAGCATGCCTGGGGAAAGGCCCTCAGCAGTTCAGGATGGTGTTTAACCATGCTGGAGCTCTTCCTAAGATCCCTGCTAGGGCACTTGGCATAAATATTGAGGCCACACCTCGAGGATGAGGCACCTCCAGTCCTATGTCCTGTTCTGGGCTGCTCCAAGGAAGACCCTGGAGGGCTGGAGCGTGTCCAGGGCAGGGAACGGAGCTGGGAAGGGGGTGAGCCCCAGGAGCGGCTGAGGGAGCTGGGAAGGGGCTCAGCCTGGAGAAAAGGAGGCTCAGGGGGACCTTGTGGCTCTGCACAGCTCCTGACAGGAGGGGACAGCCGGGGGGTCGGGCTCTGCTCCAGGGAACAGGGACAGGAGGAGAGGGAACAGCCTCAGGCTCGGCCAGGGGAGGCTCAGGGTGGACACCAGCAGGAATTTCCCCATGGAAAGGTGCTCAGGCACTGGAACTGCCCAGGGAGGTTTGGAGTCCCCATCCCTGGAGGTGCCCAGGGAATGAATGGAGGTGGCACTCAGTGCTCTGGGCTGGGGACAAGGTGGGGCTGGGGCACAGCTGGGACTTCATCCTGGAGATCTTTTCCAAGCTCAGTGATCCTGGGGTTGGAAGATGGAGGGGAGCAGCTGAGCAGTGCCTTGGGAGAGCCGTGCCTGGCTGGGGATTGGAGACCCGGGCTCAGAGGTGCCACATTCTCCGCGGGTGGAAATAACACAGCGAGACAGAAAGCAGAGACACCGAACAGCCACTCTCCAGGAGGAGCTGCTCAGGTTTCATTTCTGATCTGCTCCGGCATCTCCTGTTTCTCACCCGCTGGCAGGACAGCAGCAAACCCCTGCTCAGGCACAGCCAGGGACCAGGACAGGTCCTGAGCACGGGGACAGGTCCTGAGCTTGGGGACAGGTCCTGAGCACGGGGACAAGTCCTGAGCATGGGGACAGGTCCTGTGCTTGGGGACAGCTCCTGAGCTTGGGGACAGGTCCTGAGCTTGGGGACAGCTCCTGAGCTTGGGGACAGGTCCTGAGCACGGGGACAGGTCCTGAGCACGGGGACAGGTCCTGAGCTTGGGGACAGGGTCCTGAGCACGGGGACAGGTCCTGAGCTTGGGGACAGCTCCTGAGCCTGGGGACAGCTCCTGAGGATGGGGACAGGTCCTGAGCTTGGGGACAGCTCCTGAGGATGGGGACAGGTCCTGAGCACGGGGACAGGTCCTGAGCATGGGGACAGGTCCTGAGGATGGGGACAGGTCCTGGGCACGGGGACAGGTCCTGAGCTTGGGGACAGGTCCTGTGCTTGGGGACAGGTCCTGAGCACGGGGACAAGTCCTGAGCATGGGGACAGGTCCTGTGCTTGGGGACAGGTCCTGAGCATGGGGACAGGTCCTGAGCACGGGGACAGGTCCTGTGCACGGGGACAGGTCCTGAGCATGGGGACAGGTCCTGAGCACGGGGACAGGTCTGTGCTTGGGGACAGGTCCTGTGCACGGGGACAGGTCCTGAGCACGGGGACAGGTCCTGCTGTGGCTGTGGCCGTGCTGTCACAGTTAATGACGCTGCAGGGAAGGGCTCTCCTGGATTCCTCCCTCTTTTTTTCACATCCTGCACGAGGCAGGGACAGAAATGAAGGAAGTGCCTTCCAGCTAAGTGTGGAATTCAGCAGGATTTAGGATGTGCAGGGTGTCTGGACAGGCTGGCACAAGGCTGGATCCTCCAGGCAAAGAATTGATTGTTAGCCGCTCGACAGTAAAAAAAATATATATGTGGGGGGCAGGGGACTGGATTTTGGGTGGTTTCCCCATTTTTGCCCAGTTCCCATTCCCCCGTCCTTCAGGAGCATTTGAGAGCTGTGCTCTGGTGTTATTCACTGCTCACCACTGATTAATGGGCTGCTAATGGCATTACTCATTTCATTATCCAATCTGCAAGATCAGTCATTATCTAGGGAAAAGGGAAGTCCATTTCCTACTGGCCTTAAGTGGTTGGCTGGCGGGGTAAAGTGCGAGGCTCACATTGAGGAAGAGGAGCAAGAAGAAAATTTCTTCTCAGGAAGAAAATTTGCACTGAAAGTCATCTCCAAGTTTGTATTAGTGAAGAGTGGAGCTAAGACATCAGAGGAGATGTTGCAAATCAGAGAGATAAAATAGGTAGCCCAAAATATAAGGACTGTATCAAGAAGATGCTCTCAGAGGGCTGGGATAACAGTAATAATAATAATGATGATGATGATAGTGGTGGTGGTGATGATGATGATGATAATAATAATAATAATAATAATAATAATAATAATAATAATAATAATAATAACCACAACAACAATAACAATAATGCAGCTTGGAGGGCTGGGTCAGAGCTCAGGTGCTTGAGGTGTTGTGTAATTGCGGGCAAAGAAATTATTGCTTTCAACTCACCTTCCACAAAACGGGAAAGAGAGGCCAGCTGGCGAGTGACAGATGGGCAGGGGACAGCAGGGAGGGGACAGCAGGGAGGGGACAGCAGGGAGGGGCCCGGCAGGACCGCGGCTGGCCCCGAGCCGGTGTCAGGAAGGATAACGAGGGGCATGTGTGGGGCACCGGGGGGCACCGGGGCCAGCAGTAAATAAATAAAAGTGTCTGTCAGAGCATAGTGAGAGCCTGGCTGGAGCATAGTGAGAGCCTGGCTGGAGGATCAGAGATTGATGGAATATCCTGAGTGGGGGAGGATCCTCAAGGACCCTGAAGTTCCAGCTCCTGGCCCTGCACAGGACAGTCCCCAAGCCACAGCAGGTGCCTGTGAGCATCGTTCAAACGCTCCCTGCCTCAGGGGTGATGTCCCCAAAGGAATGGGGACGGGGCCAGCCAGGTCCTGGCTGCAGAGAGGAAGGAGAGCCGTGCCCAGAGGAGCCCTGGCATGGCCACGCCGGGCCGGGGAAGGGGAGCTGTGGCCGTGGGCTGGGAGGGCCCTGTGGGGACGGGCAGGGGTCGGTGACACGGCAGAGGGGCTGGTCGGGTTGGTGTGTGACGGCTGGAGAGGTGACACTGGCTGAGGGGACACCCTGGGGGTGGCGGCTGGCAATGAAAGGTGCTCCTCTTGTCCCGGCACGTCCCGGTGCCACCTCCTGGCACAGAACCGGGGCCGCTGCAGGGACCCCGAGCGAGGCTGGCCCGGGTGCTCCTGGCCAGGGGGCTCATGGCAGCCCACGGGGATGTGTGGAGGATGTGCCCGGCATGTGCCCGGCGCTTCCAAGGAACGCCTGTGGCAGCTGCGGGTCTGAGCCCCCCCAGCCCCGGGCTGCAGCTGGAGCCAGCCCTGCCCCTTCCCTCTGCTCTGTGCCAGCCCTGCCCTGCCAGCACACGAGCCGGTGCCCGGAGGAGCGGGGCCGTGTCGCGGAGTTCTTCCCCACGTTCCTTCCCGTGGCACGGCGCGTTCCCCGCCAAGCGCCGCTTTTACCGGGAGCCCAACATCTGCTCCAGATGCGGCCGGCGCTGCCGCGCTCCTGCCGCTGTTGTCCCGCTCCCCGGCGTGAATGGTGGACGGCGGGGCTTTAAAGAAATGCGAAAAGCCTCGCCGTGCGTGCGCTGAAGTTCGTGTCGCTCCTCGCCCGCAGAGTCGCGCTCCGGGCTCGCCCGGCCCCATGATGAGCTCGCCCAGCGGCCGGGCCCGCCCGACTCGTCTGCCCGATGGGGCTGGTCCCGGAGCCGGCAGAGGCGCAGCCCGAGCATGACGGTGGCCGCGGGGATGAAGCTCCCGGCGAGAAGGAGGAGCCGCCGCAGCGGAGCAGGCAACCAGAGTTCCCCTCCTGGCAAGTGCTGTTCTCCTCTCCGGGCCCTTCGGAGGGAGGGAGGGAGGGAGGGAGGGAGGGATGCTCCTGCTCCCGGGTGGGCGTGGGGACACGGGGCTGCGGGGATGTCGCCACAGGGAGGACGCCCGGCTCTGCCCCTGGAGCAGAACCCCGCCCCAGGCGCTGCTGGGCGCGGACAAGCCCTGAGCATCTCCCCGGAGGGCAAAGGGACTCTGCTGGGTCCCAACCGAGCCAGCCCCTCCTTTCCTGCTGCCTCCGCCTGGGAAGTCCGAGTGGAATTTTGGAAGCCTGGTAGCCTTGGAAATTGATTTTTTTTTTATTATTATTATTGTTATTACTTTTCTTTCTTCAGCATTTTGAAAAATGGCTTGACTCACAGTTGCATGAGGCTGTGGGGACTCACAGCCGACCATCTGTTTCAGCTGTTAACAGTCATTAATTTTTTTTGTAATTTTTGCTACTTTCAAGACACTTTGGGGAAAAAAAAAATGTTCTGGATGGCATTGGAGGAGTTCAAAGTCACTAACATCTTTTTTTCAGAGAAACAATGTGCCGTGAATGCAGTTATTCTAAAAGAAATACGTTTTTATCGGCTTTCTAAATGGGGAATTTGTCTCCTGGGGCCATGCAGGAGGACACGGTGTTTATCTCCTTTTCACCATGTATTTGGCTCATACCTGCAATCCACAGACTGAGCAGGGTTTTTCTGGGTTGAATCTACTGCAGAAAAGCTTTCATTTTAAAAAATACAGTGAGATTTTTCTCTTAAGCCGCTGCATTTCAGGGCCCAAGCACTCAGTGGATGTCTCCAGTCCTCCTCCTGGGACAGGGGCTCCAGCTGATGGCTGGGGGTGCTGGCTGCAGAGCTGGGGCATCTGGCCAGGTAAATAAAGGCACAAACCAATGCTATTGTCACTGTCCCCCCCAACCTGGGCACACCGACCCTCCTGCCTCATGTTCCCTGAGCCAGCTCCTCCAGAGGGGCTGTTCCTGATCCCCCAGGGCATCCAGCTCTCCTGGGCCTCAGGAATGCTCCATCAGGACCTTCACCCAGGGCTCGGGGTTCACCCCAAAGCCCCTCTGGAGGTTTCCCTGTGCTTCATGGAAAGTTTTAGATGCAACAAAAAAAAACATCCTTGAGCTTTGCATGGAGTGCCAGGATGAAGGGAATGGTTTCCACTGCCAGAGGGCAGGGATAGGTGGGATACTGGGAGGGAATTGTCCCCTGAGACAGCCCTGGCACAGGTGCCCAGAGCAGCTGGGGCTGTGGACAGGGCTGGGAGCATCTTGGGACAGTGGGAGGGGTCGCTGCCATGGCAGGGGTGGCACTGGGTGGGCTTTGAGGCCCCTTCTAACCCCACCCAACCCATTCTGGGATTCTCTGATGTAAAGATTTAAGGAAATGGAAAGAGAGGGTGCAGCACCTTGGGAACACGAGGTGGGGAGGTGGGGGCAGCTCCTCCAGGGAAGTCCTTTGTGCCACCATGAGGCCGTGGGGTGCAAACAGCAGAGCAGAGAGCTCTGGCTCAGCACCTTTGGGTCCTGTGTCTGTGTCAGGAGGTAAAACACGGCCAGGAGCCTCCAGAGCTGCTCTGGGGCTGCTGCTGGGCAGTGCAGAGCAGAAGGGTCCTTCCCTGCCGGTGACACCGGGGAGGGGACAGCCAGGGGCCAAGGAAGGGAACATCCAGGGGCCATGGAGTGCTTCCAGCCATCCATGAGCACTGCGGCTCTTTCCATGAGCCTGGAAAGGCTCCGGGGCTGCCCAGGAGCTCTGGCTGGGGGAGCAGCCCCTGGCACTGCCTCTGGGGCTGTGCGGAGCCCCAGCCTGCTTTGGGGCACTGAGGGACATGTGGGGACAGGGCATGGCACAGGATGGTGAAGCAATACATGGAATAAATTAATAGACTCCACAGCCAATACATGGAATAAATTAATAGACTCCACAGCCTGGGCTAGTTCTGAAGTGGGTATGTACTGTCAGTGCCCAGCACAAGTGAGGTATCTCCCCAAAAACTTGTGCCCCGAGCCTCAGTCTGACCCACACCTTTATTCCCAAAGGTGTTCCATATATAATACACTGAACAACTTTTCTATGCATATTCAACCCCTGGCCCTGCTGCCCTTGCCTCTCATGCTGAACAGCTCCACGCCCTGCTGGGCACACCTGGTTTGCTGTGGTGTTCCTTCTGAGGCTGAAGATTTTGCTCTTCCTCATGATTGAACTTTTGAATTTTCCCTCTCTGCGCGTGTGCTTTCTGTCAGTCTTAATAGGCTTGGAGACAGGGGAGCCTCTTTACCTGGGTTCTTTGCATCCCTAGCCATTGTTCTTTGTGCAAGAAGCTTCAGAAATTTGCATTTTCTTATTCCCTTTTGTGCCACACAGAGGTTTCTTAAGTAAAAGGTTAAAATTCAACACATAACTCTACAAACTAAAATATAAATGCTTTATTCATTTTGTTAATTTAAGTGAATTTTAAAAATCTCTGTTTCAGTGGCAAACCCCAAATAGCTCCATGAGGGAAAGCAGAGTCCATAGGATGTGCCCTGAGAGCTCAGCTCAGGTCTGGATGATCCCATATTCCAGGGATATTCCAGGGATGGACTGGAGCCCCCTCCTGACCTTTTCCAGGACATGCCTGGGTCTCTGCTCTCGTTCCTGAGCAGGGGCTGTGCTGGAGGCCAGCCAGGATGTGCTCGCCAGCAGAAGGTGCAGGAATTCACATCTGGAGCCTTGGAGACGTTTGGGGCCAGCATGGTTTTCATTTGAGGCCTTTCCGTTCTCTGTTGACTTAATTAAATAAAAAAAAAAAAAAGAAAAGAAAAAAAAGAAGCAGGCAG